TCAGAAAGACCTGCATGAGACCATAGGGTTATGCCTGAGGCCCTGACACAAGTCAAAATTTGGAACTTCGTCTTCAAAATACACTTTTGGGGGCGTTTTTTTCCTCGAAAGAAACTGTGAATTTTTGAACTTGTACCGGGAAAACAAGAAAGTTGTGACGTCAAAACTGTGTTTACATACCCTCATGCAAACATGGCTATCAACCAATCACAGCGTGCGTACTATTTAATTTATTTTATAAATAATAATAATGTATAAGTGCATTTCATCCACATCCGAAACAATATACTAGCTACATATAGAGAGCAAATCGCTGTGTTTAATTTGTATTTCAAATGCACAAGACCCACAAGGAGCTTATTTGATGAAGGCTGAACCGACTCTGAACATTATCTATAATTAAAGCTATAATCTTTTTATTCTCTAGTCGACAAGCAATAAAAACTGGAGACGCAAAGCAGGTCTCAGACCCGTCCATACGACAAAGATGGCACTACCGTGATGGCTTTATTCACCTGAAGAATAATTCTCTGCTTGTACTGGGATTGGCAGATGGTATTAATGAGGTAAGCCACACCCAGTGGAATGTCATCTCTGTAAACAAGGCCTTATGTTCGTCGTCCCTGTAAACAAGGCCTTATATTTGTCATCCCTGTAAACAAAAAGACTATACTCCATTTTACAGTTCCATTCAGTGACCACGAATAATAGTTCCTAGCCGAGACTGGAGTTAGCGCGCATGATAAACTGTAGTTTTGCTATGCGCAGAAACTCCAGCCTCGGCTAGGAACTATTCGTGGTCACTGAATGGAACTGTAAAATGGAGTATTGTTGTTCAAACATCCGTCACAATATCTCAGTTATTTAATTTATGTAATCTATGTATTTGTAATAGGGTACAGCAAGTAATGAAGTAGTACTGTGCAAGAAAAAGCTTGAGGATCCTTGTCAGCGATGGATAATATCAGAAGACGGGTTAGTACTACCCAATGTGAGATTCGACGACTACAGACTATGGTTTTCGCCAATTAGACTGGATTGAGTCGTTCCGCACATTCCTCAACTGGAAGTAGTTGTAGTGTTTTACCTGGTTTTGACCGTCTTAAAGACCGGTAAAAGAAACATGTAGATCATTGTCTGTAGTCCTCAAATTCTCTAATATGGCTACTCAAGGTTCAAGGTTTTTTTTATATCGCAGTTAGCATTTTATACATTATTATTTACACTTTTTTTCTGTTTAATGGGAGGTGCAAAAAATAAAAAAGGATAAAGAAGATTATTCTGCACCTTTAAATACAAGTGTTTATCAGAAAAAATCTGTTAACATTTGGTCAGCTACGATTTCATGCTCACGCCCCCACACGTGAGCCCATACAAATTATGTCTCAAAAACACGGTTTTTAGATCTTTTCTCAAAATAATGGCTATCTAGGCAAAAAACAGAAGTGGATTCAGTTAATTCAACTATTCACGGACTGTATTATATGGTTTAGATTGAATTCTGTAGAAAAAAACCACCGTACTTTTTGAGTATGCATGACATAACCGGGGTCAAGCTAGGTTTCGTTGCCTCGAAAACACGCTAACTAATAATAAGGATTATGGGTAGATACATTTTACATGTTTCAACCGCTTTATAACTGTTGATGGACTTGCACATCTTTTATCAGTTACAGTCTCACTTCTGAGCATCCTCAAGCTGCAGTTTGTATCAAAAAAGGCTGTACTTGTTTGAAATGAATTATTTCCCATTATCCTCAGTGATCTCAGCTTTCCTGGTTTTTGGTGACTAACTTTATTGAAATAAGTATATAAAGATTTTAAAATCTTTTTAAAGGACTCATTTATTAAACTTCGAATCCATATCTTTAAAAAAGTTACAAAAATATATGGTAAATCGTAGTTTAAAAATTTGTAGGCAAGTTCACAGAGCTGGAATTTAGTTACTTCAAAGATATCGAGTTTTTTAAATAGTTGTCTGCTATAGGTGTTGTAGAGCTTAAGAACATGACTCAACGGAGGGCTCGTTTTTTCACCTGGTCGGATCCCCACAAATATTTTTAAAGACCTCGCTACCCTCAGTCCGTGCAGCATAATCTCCAGCCAAATATTTCCCTGTACGGCCCTCCCACACGGCCAATAAGTGCTCAATGTCAACATTCATATTAGCAAAGCAAAACCATTTAGACTACAAACACTACTCCTACGATAATATTTCGAAAAATTTTCTGCTGAAAAAGGATTCCTCACCTATTACTTCACTCCGACTACATGACAAATTTGTCAGAATTTATGTGTCAAAAAGAGTCTACAAGATCAGTGATTTTATTTGTAGTATATTAAGAGGAAATTTTTTTCAATAATGAGCAATAATGGCAAAAAGCGCCAAAAACTACACTTTCGTATGAGTTTTGATCCAATTTTCGTTTTGGGTTAACACTCAAAACCATAGTACATTAGTTTCTAACTGTATAAAAAAGATAAAATGCCTGTTTGAAGCGGTATTTTCAATCGTACAAAGATGTTTTGTTGCGTTCTTGTTAGAATGTTGCTTTGTCAGGCATTTTTATAGAAAATATATGGGAAATAAGCAAATGAAGGCGAAAAGAATTATCTCTTAATGGGTAAAGCAAGCACAACTCGTGGTTTCACTGCAAAGTATTGAACATCTATGAACAATAAGAGGACAGTCAATGGAAATCTATGTGCGAATTGTTAAACTGATTCCTATTTACTGTTCTGACATTCGTTTTTTCTCACCTTTCCTGTTACAGGACAATTTCACTACGAAGTAACGTTCAGTTTGTATTAACTGTCACAACTCCACCACTCGGTAATGACCCATTTTCTTACGACAAAGCTCTTGATCATGGGTATCTTGGATCAGCAGTAATCGTAGCCACCAGAAAGTCATGCGAAAATGGAAATTGTCACCAGCTGTGGAGCTTTGATAGGTTTACTGGTTTTATTGAAGCTTTTGCTTCAGACACAGCAAATAAAGGTAAGGGCCGGTAGGACGAATGTGTGTTATTAATGAAAACTTTGGAGTACGTAGGGGAAACAATGAAAGATACTTCAAGAAAGAGAAGGAAATAATCTGAAATGAGAAAACACGCCTTTCTTTCGTAAAAGGATCAAAGCTCTTGTTAATAATTATTAACCTTACGCTATTTTAAACTAATTGGAAATCTTCAATGATGACATTTAGAAATCTATTAGCGGGGAGCAGTTTTAACTATTACATTTATAGATTAATATGCCTATTCAAACTGACAAACAAAGAGTGGTACAAAGTCGTTCTTGGGTTTGAGTACTACTCATCAACATTTGTTCCCTTCATAAGCTACGCAGGCAATAGACCATTTTCGAATTTGCACGAAACCGCTGTGTTTCTTGATCACAGACTCGTTTACTCAGGGTTGGCCTCTTATCAATGTCTAAATATTCACAAATACCTACGTAAAGTAAAGATTGCAGAACTTCAACGATACAAACACTAAGCAAAATCGAGCAAAAATCCTTAGCAATAGAGAACACGAAACCGAAATTCCCTTATTAGCAAATAAATGAAATTCCCCTTTTCAATTTTCTTGGGGCGTTTAAAGAAAAATTTCAATTCCAAATTCACATGGTTAGTCGGGCTTTTTATTTCTTATACTTTGAAACGATAGGATTTTTAGAAATTACCTCAATGTAGGTTGAGCCCTGTTACGGCAGCCATCTTGGATCGCAAGGCATTATGGGGCATCCAGGGGGYAAATAAAGCTTTGTTACAGTAATGACGTCGATTGATATTAACAGCTTACCACAAGATAGTGCAACCAAAGCCGGATTACTTAAAATGGCGCATCGATTACCTATATATTCTCCGTCATCTTTATTTTGTTTTGCCCTCTGGCAAGATGGCCGCCGTATCGTCGAAGTAGTCCACTGTTAGTTTGTAAAAAGACTTGTAACAAAAGACCTCGTTTTGTTGTAAACTCAGAGATTACTGCTGCCAATAAATCCAACGTGTGTACCTACGCTATCCTTGGTCAACGTGAAATATACCAACCAGTAAGTATGACAACGATAACCTAATAAATAAATAAATAAATAGATAAATAAATAAATAGATAAATAAATAAATAGANATAAATAAATAAATAGATAAATAAATAAATAGATAAATAAATAAATAATAACAGTAGCATTTCCGCAGAGTGGCTCTTTATCCCCTGAATTCTATTTGGAATTTAGAAGTTGATCTTTGCGGAGGGTTGAAAACCGGTGAAACCGGAAAACCCTCGAAGTGTTATGAGAGAGAAAATTAATGTTTTTACAGACTAAGCTAGACATCAGTTTTCTAATTACTATTTCTTATCGTATGAAAACAAGATAAAGAACGATCAATTAGTTGTTAAAAATATCGATATAAGATTTCAGTAAGGCTACCATCACGCACAAGTTTAGAAAATGGCATGCTTTGAATTTACAAGTAAACCACTTAGCTTCTCCCATTAGCATGTACACCTCTGGTTACGCCCTACACACTCTCTACCCCTTTGCTTAGTTATTTTAGCACTATTCTGTTAAATCTTATGATATAAATATCCCTCGTAGACCTTTCTATACATTTACCATATATTCATATATTAACTTTAGTTTAAGCTATGCTTAGTTCTAAGATTTTCACTCGTATTACTCTTTAATAAGATATCACACTTAGAAATTTACTATTTGCTTTAGCCAATCAAGACACAGCGATAATATCACATCGATTGTAGAATGACACCTGTCATGAAGTTATTATAAATAGAGCTCATGTAAGAGAGAAGAGAAGAGAGAAGAGAAGAGAGTCAGAGAAAGTGGAATAAAGAACCCGTAGCTCGTACCGAGAGCGGTCCATCCCCATAACAGAAGTACAGGAGAGAACCAACAAACAACTCTACGGGCGGGACTCCAACCCGGGTCACATTGGTGAGAGCCAAGCGCTTTCACCGCTACGCCACCCGTGCTTCCCTTAATAGGGGTTCCACAGGTAACCCAAGCTAGGTTTCTGTGGTGTCATGTTATAAGAAAATGTATGGCGATACTCTAAAAACTCAGTAAACAAATTTTTACACTATTTTACATTTTGACGATTTTGAATTTTTTAATTGTCGTCATACATTTTTTTAATAACATGACACCACAGAAACCTAGCTTGGGCAACGTGTGGGGGATTCCAACAGGAAATAAATTTCTGATCTGCATATTATAAAGTCGTCCTCATTAGTTTTTTTATACACCTAATTCAAAATACGTTGTCATCGCCGAAGGCGATAGGCGATAGGTCATTCCGACATAGAAATGGTTTCGTTGAATACGAAGAACCTTAAATCAGTATCAACAAGGTCCATGTTCTTGACGAAAATAAAAAAGCATAAACACATGTCATTCCAGCTATTCCCTGATCTCCTATTGCCTATTGTTTTTGGCAATGACAAAGTTTATTGAATTAGAAGTATAAAAAATGCTAATAAGGTGAAGACTTTAAATGTCCATGCACGTGTATGGTTACTCCAATTTAAGTTTTCATTTTTTTAAATTTTATTTTAATTTTCTAACATTTTTTATTAAACAAAAAACAAACACATACGCATTAACAAAAGAAAAAGAAGAAAAAATAAGTAAATATTTATTTACATAAGGGCACTATACATCCAAAACAAACAAACAAACAAACAAAAAAAAAAGAATTAAATAAGTTAAATAAATTCAAAGAGTTTGTTAAATTTATTGTTGTGAAATTCAGTCACTCCAATTGGTTCACAGGCTCATTAATCATTCATGAGAACGTAAAAATAATACTCATTCCAACAAAGCCTTACAATTTCTATTTCATTACCCATCAAAGTGCAAAGCTTCTTTATAAGAAGTTCTAACTTTTTCATTTTACAGGGTTATGCTTACATGCCAGGCACTTCTCGGGAAAAACGTTTGTGTGAAGCATGTGGGAAAGCATCGAGAGGGAAGAACAAATTACAACGACTGAAAGACAGCAGAAGATTTGCTTGTAATACAGGAACAAGTATGTGTTTGTATACACATTATGACCTCATATATACATATATTTATTGAACCCAAGGTATATTTTTCTAAATAACACGCCTGTAGCAAAAAAAGATGTCTGTGTATGCTTTCTGTAAAGCTTTTAAGACATGAATGAATCGCAGTAAAATCTGCTTGAGACATTTTTTAATCTATATTTTTTTATATGAACAACCAGAATGTAACATTGCTAGTATTCCTTGACCAATTTGACCTGAGTGCTGCGTTCGATACTATCGACCACGATATTCTTATAGCTCGCCTCAAATCTAACCTGGGCATTTCAGAACCTGCTCTATTGTGATTCAAGGAGTACCTCTCTGACCGAAGCCAACGTGTCTCTATCAACGGATGTGTATCTAAAAAGTTCAGCATCACAAACGGTGTGCCTCAAGGAAGCTGTTTAGGGCCTCTTCTCTTTATCATCTACGCCAGTGACCTGTTCAAGATTCTAAACAAACACTCGGTAAAAGCTCATGCTTATGCGGATGATAGCCAACTTTACCTTTCGTTCAAGCCAGGACACATGGACAGCCAAAATGAAGCTACGGATACTATAACGAACTGCATCAGAGATATTCAAGGATGGATGACATGCAGCAAATTGAAAATGAATGATGGGAAGACAGAGTTCATGATCATTGGCACGTGACAGCAACTGTCCAAGCAATCAATTGAGTAGCTCACTGTTGGCAATTCTTCAATCAAGCCCTCATCTTCTGTCAGGAATCTTGGAACTATCTTTGACACTAACTTATCTTTAGACAAGCAGATAGCTAGCATATGCAAATCTTCTTTTTATTATCTATATAACATTAGGAAGATCAGGAAATTCCTATCTCCTGATTCTTGCGCCACTCTAGTCAATGCTTTTATAACTTGCCGCATAGATTACTGTAATAGCTTATACTATGGGCTACCTGCTTATCAAGTAGCTAAACTGCAACRCATACAGAATGCTGCCGCTCGTTTAGTGTCTTTAACTCCACGCTTTTCGCATATTACTCCTGTCTTGGCTGATCTCCACTGGCTACCAGTGAGATTTAGAATACGTTTTAAGATACTTATTTTCGCTTTTAAGGCTATTCGTGGTCTCGCTCCTAGTTACTTATCTGATTTAATTTCTATCAAAAAGCAGTCTGGTTATAATCTTAGGTCCAATAAAGAGCTTTTATTAGCACCTCCACCGACTAAACTTCGACCTACTCTTGGTGGTAGGACTTTTTCATACGCTGCGCCAGTAGAATGGAACACTTTACCATCTAGTATTAGGCATATTACATCATTACCTTCTTTTAAAGAACACTTAAAGACATATTTTTATAGAAAAGCCTTTATTTAGTTGTTTTTGCAATTCCCATTAATTAACTTACCTTTTATGTTTCTAGTTATTGTGTATTGTTTCTGTATTCAGCGCAGATGAACATCTTGTGCTAATCTGCGCTTTATAAATTTAATTTATTATTATATTATTATAATTTTTTTATTATTAAGAGATCTAATTAAAGTCTTGTAGAGGGTTTTTAACGATCTTTCCTCTCCTTATATTAATGTCAGGACTATGATGGTAATGTTAGTTTTGTTTGTCTGCTCGTTTGTTTTAGTTAATCTTTCTTTTAATATGATTTGTAGATGATGAAAACGGCAACAACGGAAAACTATCTGGCTGCTTTAAATGTCTCTCCAGCAAGGTATTGAACCATCGAACCATTCATCCAGTACATGCATCCCTACCTCAGTTCTACCCCCATGCGCGTTAGGTAGTTATGAAGTTAGGGATACAGAACTGATGTGGTCAAAACTACATATCAAAGCTAATATACACTCACATTTTACAAGCTGCAAATAAAATGTCATATTCTAATATTCAGGTTGACTTAACCACTCTTGAGGCAGAATCCACCCTGGAGTTGTGGGAATACCAGCTAGACAGACTGCGTAATGAAGGCAACGTCCGAACGATCACCAAAGAACTTAACGTAGCAAAGAGTGTCGCAGCGGTGAGGATCTTGGCGCACAGAAACGGCGAGGGAAGCCGAGGACAAGGGGAACTTGTTATTGGCTCTTCTATACATTCGGTAAGATATGAGGACATATATTTGTGCATAATATTCAAACGCATAAAATTATCCCAACTAAAGTCAGTAATCCTGTTTTCGTTTTAGTTGCTGGACCAATCTACCACCCGTCTATGTCTAATGCAGGCAGCCCGTCGACTTTACACTGTACGAGGGGAGCTTATCACGGATATTCATCAACTTTTCAGACCTTACAATGCTAGTATGATGAGGTCCTTACAAGAGTCAGAAGAGATAGTATTAGCTGAAGGAGACGAGAAGAAAACAAAGGTAAAATTGTTAATTCCTGTAAATGAATTCTGCATGACGATCCCGTTGAGATTCAGGAAAGCGGATACCAACATAATAGCATACATCGGAAAACAAAATTACGTTTATGAGATTATTTTTCTTTGCAAGAAAAAGGAGAGTCCTCCATCTATACCAAATGGAGATGCCGTGGATTACATAGAAGCTGAGAACAAACGATACTACATCAGCGATAGTAGCAAAGAAGTACAAAAACTGGACCTGAGCGGCGCTCAAGACAAGGTAAGGAACTAGCATGTTGTTTTAGTAAAAATTAATTTCTTTTTTTTTTCTAATCGCGAAGAGTTATTTAAAATGTTGATTCAACCTTGATAAAGGTCAGTTTATATATAAACGAATTCTCTTAAAGGAAGCGAAAATGTCATTTGTGTAAATCGGTAAATGTGACTTCGTAGCCGAAAGGAAACATCATGAGACATGAGCGATATTTGAGTAATGGAACAACAAAACAAATTACATAAGAAAGACAAGCATTCTCAATGTTATCCAACACGGCTGTCGGAATATGATCGCGTACTTCAAAAACTTTACTGAGTTTATGATACTTGACTAGGTGGATGATGAGGACAACGAGTCTGGTAATGATACGTACCGGTTGGGTAAAGGTCGGAAAAGACGTTCCCTTCCTACTGTTATGCAAGATCCCTCGGGATTCCCGCGATGGGACACACGATGGCCCATTGATGTTTGGGTATCTTGCGGGGAACCGTTTATACCTTTGGAAGGTGAGCTTAGAGCTTAGGCTCAAAATAAAGATATATTTACTATATATATATAAATGCTAGTTGTGAATAAGAGTGGACACTGGATACCTAGAGCGATTAATAAAATAAAATAAAAAAATAAAGTTTGTTTATAGAGGATAACACTTGACAGTAATTCAACTGATAAACTTGTGGTCCTCTGTTAACGTCTCTAGTTAATTAGGGACGGGACATATATAAATAACAATAGTACAGATGTTCTTATAATCCCTATGCGATAAAAATACTGAGAAAATCAAAAAGAACATATTAGAAGCGAGGGAAGACACGAGACGAGAGGAGACTCTCAAATCGTTGTGTGAAAAGGGGAGTCGAAGGACGAGCTAAATCCATTCATTCCAAAATGGAATATTTATCAATGCATATTAAGTATCTAGTTTGTTAACCTGATGATCACTGTATACAGAGGCAGATAAGCAGTATCTCTTGTCCATGAAGCATCGAGAGGAAAGGACCTGGTTACAAGCATACCTCGATATAGAAAAACATGTTCTCAGACAGATGCAAGGTACAATAGATCTATGTTTTTTCTTCTACGAGGTGGCATAGTGTGTACATGTCACAGTCGTAACCGCCATGCCCATGTTTACCGCTTGAGCAAAGGGCAATGTGTAAGTTAGATTCTTTGTTTACTTGCCATAATGTTTTCACACAGGAGTTCAACTTGAACTATTTTACTGGTCCAACAGATTGCTAGCGCTAGGCTAATAATAACTTGCGCGCTTAACAAAATGTTGAATGGCGTTCTGGTCGACTTTATTTAATGAATTCTGAATAAAAAAATTTTAATGGACAATTTTACTAATATAAGAAAATAAAAGATTCGTCATTTCGGCAGAAACCTTATTGTAGGGGCCTATAGGCGGAGCACCATAGGTATAGAATATGGTAAACTATCCAACTCAATTTTCGTGGTCATCGTGGGAACCCTGTGC